GGGGCGCACGGGATGCCCGCGGAGCTGGCCGGAGCCGGACCGGACTGGACTTTAACGTGGAGCAGAAACTCGGGGCGGTGGCCTTCACCCTGGCCCCTCTGAGGACAAGGCGGGACCTTCTCCACGGCGGGACGGACGGAGATGGGGCTCTGGAAACCCAGGGGGCAGCCCCTACCACCTGTTCCTCGGTCCTCCCGAAATTCCATACAGTGAGAAATTCAGGGGGTAACAGGCTCCTGCTTCCAGCGAGGAAAGCAAGCCCGAGAAGGAAAGGGGCCGGCCCAGCGTCCTGGACGAGAGAGCGGCCAACGTGCACCCCAAGCCCAGGTCTCCTGGCGCCCCACCCGAAGAGCCGGGCGCTAAATCTTTCTCAGAGGAGACAGCCCGGCCCACCTGGTGTGACCCCGGCGCCCGCAAGGCGGCCGCTCTCCCCGGCTCCGACCCCTGCGGCCCTGGGGCCCTGGGCCTTGTCCTCCGTCCGCCTGAGCCCCTTCTGCGCGTAGGGCCCGGCCCCTCTGACCCCCAGCACGGTCGCCTCGCTCCATCTCCTCGTCTCCTTCCTGCCGGGTCCCACGGGGGCAATAAGTTGTTCCCCCTCAGCCTTCCATGCACTTGGCTGTCTCCTTCCGAGGAGCCTTCAAGTGTCCCGGCTGCCGTCGCAGGCCCCGCCGGCCGCTCGCCGCGCGGGGGGCGCGCACAGGTGCGGCCTCTGCTGTGCGCGCGGCGCGTGAGCCCGGATTTTTTGAAACGGCCCGGCACTTCGCGTGCGCTGTTCCACTTTATTTTATTTCTGCTTTTCAGTGCTGAGCAGGGGCGTCATCACCCTTCACGGCCTCCCCGCGCGGGCGGGCCCGGCGCGCGGTGTGCCGTTCCGCGCTCCTTGCCCGGCCGCTCAGGCGGGGCTCACGGACAGCCGCTCGCTCCCCGCGAACCCGAAGCGTCGCCGACGGCTCTGGGAGGCGTTCGCGTCTGCCACGCTGGGTGTTCCAACCGTCCGACACCCGCTCGTCCCGCTCTAGGTGTGGAGCGGCGTCGAGCGCGAGCGCACCGAGCACGAAACGTCGTTCTGTGCCACCGTCACCTCCCTGGGGTTTGGCCCCTCCTTACGACACCGGCCTGGCACGAGAGACCGGGGTCCCCACCAACGCAGAGACAGCGGCACCGTGTCAGGAAGCGGGGCGGTGGCCAGGGCACCATTTCGGCCCCTACGCCCACGCCCCGCCCCGCCGCACACGTCCTCCCACGCCCCGCCCCGCCGCTCGTCATCCCACGCCCCGCCCTATCAGGTCATCCCACGCCCGCCCCGCCGCACACGTCCTCCCACGCCCCGCCCCGCCGCTCGTCATCCCACGCCCCGCCCTATCAGGTCATCCCACGCCCGCCCCGCCGCACACGTCATCCCACGCCCTGCCCTATCAGGTCATCCCACGCCCGCCCCGCCCTACACGTCATCCTACGCCCCGCCCCGCCGCACCGCGTCCTCCCACGCCCCGCCCCGCGGGGGCTCCAGGCCGCCCCCTGCCGCCCCTCCGGCTCACGTTCAGGACGTCGATTGTTCCAGGGCGGCCAAGGACGAAGCCCCTGTAGCTGAAACTCCCGTGGGTTGTCACAGAAAAGCCGACTTCGGCTTGGATGTCCCTTCATTCACCTCCCAAGACCGAGAGCAAAGGTGAGTGAAATGTTAGCACGGACTTCACACGCTTCTCACAGGCGAGCACCGTGGCGTTGGACCGTGGCCTTTATGGGGGCGCCGCCGGCGCGGGGTGCGTAGGTCCTGTGCGCGCGGCGCAGCCTGACTCTCCTGTCAGCGGGTGGCTGGAGCTCAATGTCTCCCAAACACAGGCAGGATTTTAGCTGCTTCCTAAAGAGGCAGCGCAGGTTTCATCAAGGCCTATTTCTCTAGTTCAAGCCTCCGCTTTACCCTCCTACTGCTTGGTGCGCCCAGAAAAGACATCTGGTCCCCTCCTACCCGCCCTGCAATTTCTGGACATTTGTGCCTAAGCTAAGTCAGCCCAGCTTGGGGTCGACCGCCCTGGAGGCACTGAAAAGTTACCTTATAATTTAGCAGAGAAATAATCTAGCTTTGGAAAACCAATGAACTTCTACAAGTTCAGATTTCTGCAAGTTATGTTGTTACAAGGATTTGCCTCTTTTTCATCATGAACAGGTTGGCTGGTGGCTTGGTCATCTGGTATACCCACCCCCGCAGGCCGAACAGAACCGCCCGCGCGAAGGGTGCTCCAGAGTCATGTGGGGTGTTCCACCCGGAGGGGGAACGGGCTTGAAATATGCCCCGCTCCAATTCTGCGCTTCCTAGCGGTTGAAGAATTGAAACAATACTCCCCCCTCAACGGGCGTTGACCTGCATTGGTGTTACTGTTTTCTAGATTCTACGACAACGGCTTCCCTTCGGTTACATCATAAGGATTCATTATAGTCCAGTGACGAAGCCTGTTAAATCTGAGTTGGCTTCATTTTACTCACAGAAACTGAGATGTAAAGACAGTAATAAAATGGGACCCCAAACCCAGCAACCAGTGTTGGGGAGAACGTGGAGACGCGGGAGCCCCTCGTGCGCTGCTAAGGAAATCGAACACTAATTCAAAAGGGCGCGTGCACCTCTATGTCCGCTGCAGCGTTATTTACGACACCCAAGATAGAAGCGGAACCTCCGAGTCCATTGACAGACAGCTGGATAAAGAAGTGGTACATCCAGACCATGGACTATTACTTGGCCAGACAAAAGAATCAACTCTTGCCATTCACAACATAAGACGGACCCAGCACGCAGTATGGCACGTGAAATAAGCCAAGCAGAGAGGACAGATAACATGTGATTTCACCGACATATGGAACATGAAAAACAAAATAAATGAATAAACAAAATGGAACCAACTTCTTAGACAGATACAAAGAGGATGGGAGGGTGATTGAGTTAACACGGGACTGGATTAATCCATGCAAACTGCCAGTTATGAAAACAGTCAGAGGCGTGCAATGCAAAGTATCGGGACTGTCGGCCATAACATTGCAATAGCTTCGTGTGGGGTCCGACGGCCATTAGCCATCCTGGGGGGTCACTGGGTAAGTTACACACACGTAGGACCCAGCAACTCCACTTCTGGGTATTTACTCGAAGAAAACAAAACTAACTTGAGAAGCTGTATGTGCCCCATGTGCAGTGCCGCATTCTTTACAAGGGTCAAGACATGCGAACAGCCTGAGCGTCCGCAGGTGGATGAGTGGATTAAAAATTGTGGCGCATATGCAACAGACTATTCTGCATCAAAAAATAAACAGGAATCTCATCGCGACCGCACTGGTGGATCTTGCGGGCATGAGGCTCAGTGAAGGAAGACAGAGAAAGACAAACATCCAACGATCTCACTGGTCTGTGGGATCTAAAGAGGAAAGAAACGCTGATAAGCGCAGACAGAGGTGGGTTGGCGGAGGCCGGAGGCGGGGGACGGGGGGGCGCAATGTGGGGAGAGCAGGCGAAGGGGCACAGCCGTCCATCATCGACTAAACAAGTCGCGGGGATGCCGTGCACAGCGTGGCGACTACAGTTCATATGTCTCACGTGTTGGGAAGTTGCTGGTAGTTGCTAATGTTTAATAGTTACTAAATCTTAAAAGTTCTCTTCACAAGAAAAAAAGAGGCTTTTTCGGAGCTGTGTGCGGTGACGGACACTAACGGGGCTTACGGCAGCCATCGGTCCCCAACGCGCCGAAGATCAAACCAGGCGCACCCCCGGAACTCACGTAATGCTCTGTGTCAGTGAGCGCCAATAAAAACTGGGCTCTGCACTTTTATTGTTTCCCCATATGCACCCCATAGCAATCACGTCTGAAAGACTGTGCCCCAGCAAAACAAAGTGGAATAAAGTAATCGTTAATTCTATTTTAAACCTTTCACATCTACCTGTATCTTTCTCTCCTAACAGAAACAGGGGGAGGGGGTGGATGGGCATTTGGAGGCGTATGAGTTCCGTTTGGGCTGACCTCCCAAATACTGGCTTCCTTTCTTAGGGCAACCGAATTTAAAGTAAAACTTCTGTATTTATTTACGTACAGAGTGGAATTGTTTACTAAACTAAAAAAAGCAAAGCAACGTTTAAGTATATTCGAGCGGCCACCGGGTGCAGGGTATACCAACCCAGGCTTAGGGCGCGTGAAAACGCCCCGAGTTTTAAGGCGATTTCCGATGACAGGCGTTGATCCTCATGGAGCTTTTCTGGAACCAGAAGACTCACCTTGCCAGTTTCTTCCTCTATCCTCTGCCATGAGGAAAAATTCGAGAGGGAAAAGGAGACCATTCAAGTCCTGGGTCCCACCCCTCGGTCTCCCACCCCCCTTCTCCCCACTGGGCCACTCACGATCGGCCTTCCTGTCCCCTCGTTCCTCACGAGAAACAGCCAGCGTCACGGGAACGGGGGAGGTTATTCGGAGGAGGGTTGCCGCGTGGAAATGTCACGTCCCCCCCGGAAGGGCAGTCTGCACACCCTCCTTTAGGGACACAGAGGTGCCTGTTGAACTAAATTTTCCATAAATGCATTACCTTCCTACTCATTCGTTTAACAGCCGTACCTGATGGGTTTCTCTGAAAAGCGAATTCAAACCCTGAGGTTAGAGTGACGCAACAAAAGCTTGAAGAGCAAAGCAAAGCAAACAAACAAAAAACCAAAAAAAAAAAAAAAAAAAAATTGATCAAAACCACTTCAATTCTTCCCCATGAAATTTTAACAGTTGACTCACCCGATGGTAAATGGCATCGCACAGAGGGCGACACCTCATGGGCGCGATGTCTGCCTTTCACAGGTATTAACTTAAGAAAGACGCTGCTGGCGGCAGCCACCGCGAGACTCTGTCACACCCGACCATCACACGTAAAGTCAACACACACGTGGCCTTCCCGCACGCGGTCGCTCTCTGTCTAGAAGGCTGCGCTCCCTGCTCGTCTGCCTGGCAGGAGGGGCCCTTCTCTGGCGAATGGGCACTCACCGTCATCTTTGTCGGGGACAATTGTCACGCGAGCCCCCGGGAACGCGGCTCCGATCCTCCCGCCCATGGGCATGCTCAGCAGGACCTGGAAGGTCTCCTCCTCTTCGTACAGGGAGTCGTCGATGATGACGACCCGGCACGTTTTCTCTCGCTCGTCTTTGTCGAAGCGGATGATGCTGGTGTGGTCCTCGGGCCTCGATATGTAATCGGAGTAGGACAGCACCGAGGTGGGCACGGTGCCGCTCGCCGTCCCTGGCAGAGAGAGGACGAGTGTTTGACGCGGACCTGGTCACAGGCTGCTTCCAGAAACAGCAGTCCCACGCGGCGTTGTGACGGTCAGGCACCGTCTGTAGACACCGCGGGACCTTGAGCCTGTGTCCTGGTCTAGCACCACGAGTCAACTTCACTGTGGTCACAAGCCTAGGACTTTAAAAAAAAAAAACTTACGTGTTTATTTTTAGAGGAGAAGGGAGAGAAACATCCGTGTGTGGTTGCCTCTCGCACGCCCCCTAATGGGGACCTGGCCTGCAACCCAGGCACATGCCCTGACTGGGAATCGAACGGTCGACCCTTTGGTTTGCAGGCCGGTGCTCAATCCACTGAGCCCCACCGGCCAGGGCCCACGTGTTTCTGCTGCTTCCTGCCAGTGGTCTTTTAGACACAACACAGTGTTACAAAATAACAGTTGTTGGCTGGGTGCAGGGACCTGCCCTGCGGTTCTGCCTCATGAATTCGCTCAACCACTCTCTCCCCCTGGGTCTCATGCATCCGGTGACCGGGGCTGAAACAAGTTAAAGGCCCCGCTCTGGGGCCGCGAGCAGACAGCGGATGTCCCGCGGTCGCCCACCGGAACGCGGCCCTTCGCAACCGTCCAGTGCCTGCTCATGGACAGCGAGTCCAAGGAGCGGCGGCAACGACAACCGCCGCCTCTCACGCTCTCAGGACGCCTGCTTGGTGAATGGATACTGTGGATTGATTTTAAGTTTGTATCACATGAAAGCAGCTTTCAGAGAAGGCCTGCCGATCTGCAAAGCAAATATTCTAAAATGCGACAGAAATGAATTTCTGATTAGTTTGCAACTAGTGTCTTTCCTAGGGCATGCGTTTCTTCAACGCTTTTTGTTTTGTTTTCCTTTCTTTTTTAACAGGGATTTGGGTGGCGGTCCTTGCAAGCCAGGCAGCATTTGACACCGGAGTGAGCAACCGAGGGGACCGGACATTTCTGAGAAAGCGGCAGCAAGATGCTGGGCTGCTGTCCTCCTTTCTCGTGGAAACTGTGAAATACAACGCGCCGCTCACGGCAGGAGGCCACGCACGTCGCAGAGGCCCGGGTGGGTGCGGGGGCGCGTCGCGCTACCTTGCTGCGTGTAGCAGGCCACCATCAGCTCCTGGCTGACGTCCCCACTCCTCCGGACGGGGATGAACAGCTCGCCCACGTCCTCCTCCACGGAGTATTCAGACTGTGGAATAAACACAGTGGATTCTAAGGAGAGAACACAATCATAGGCACGTTACTGGTGGCGGAGCCGCGTCCCTCAGAAACAGCCCTGCAAATGAAGGTTCCCCCAACGGCTGCCTTCTCCCCCCCCCCCCCCGTGCGCAGATGTTCAGGGCACCTCCGTGCATGGGGCAGAGGGAGGGGAGGCGCCAGTCAGCGGGCCCCCCCGCCCCGGACACGGAGCCCGGCCTCGCTGCTTCCCCCGGGACTGCTCGTCCCTGTCAGGAGAGCTGCCGGCCGCGCCCTTTGAACCTGGCTGTGGTCTCCGGGCACCAGCCCGCACCTTCCAACCGAGAGGCACATCGCAGCGCTGGACGGGACCTCAGATGCCCTTTGGTGCCACCTCGTACTTTAATAGAGGAGGAGACGCTGACGCGTAGGCTTGAACCGATCCATCAGGGACTCTTCCCGGTCAGTCAGGGTTAAAGCCCAGCTCTCGTTACGTCTACTCTCTCTGTTCTTGTTACCCCAAAATGTGCTCCGTTTGGGTGATTAAAAAATAGTAACGTATCATTCCACACTCGGTTTCGTTTGTTGTTGTTGTTGTTTTAAATCGCAGCCCCTTTAGAATCCACGGGCTTCTTTACCGGCGTGGGAGCAAGTCCTCCCACGGGCAGCCCCTCCGCAGCCCGAACGGCCGCGGCACACGCTCTCCAGCGCCCGCCCTAGAGCGACACGCCATGGTTCGCTTTTACGGTGTTTGAAAGGGACACGAAGTGATAAAAATGGCCTGAAGAGTTGAGCAGACGCTGCTCAATGTAAAACTACGTTAAGTTCAAAGAAACAGCTCAGCAGTCAGACACGCTAACCCCAAACGGGTACCGCGGTGTTCGCCTGGGAGCCTGTTTTACCGAAGGCCTCGCAGAGACGCGCGGGGGTTATTTTCACGCCCCCGCATCCGAGGGCTGTAAAGGCCGCCGGAGCCGTGAGCGCCGCCCTCCACCCACCCGGGCCCCTGACGGACCGACGTGAACGTCACAGGGCTCCCCGTGGCCCGGCTTCGGCGGGCTCAGCCCAGGGGGCCCGCAGGACTCGGGGCACGGCCAAGAGCGGAGGGAGGTTGGCATTCATCTGCCCGGTCCCCCCAGGGTCCCCGAGGGAGCTGCACCCCCCCAGGGAAAGGCTACGGAGCCTGCTGGACGCACGGCTCCCACTCTGGGTTCAGCACCCCCCCCCCCAGGCCCAGCAGCGGCCGCCATCACTAACCACGGGCCCCGGGCTATGTCTGGGGCTCCCCCTCCCCCCACCTCTGTACAGGGCCCGTTTTAAAATTCTTTTCGCATGACTCATGGTGAGCGCAATGTTTGTTTTCTCCTGGGACTCGTACCAATACACCCACTGAAAAAACGAGACGATGAAGAAACGCGTGGATCCCAGATCATACAACGAATGAGCCCCTCATCAAACGCTGACGGGGGGCCTCCTCCCCGCCAGATGCCGGATGGCAGACACGGAGGGGGCCCGGGAAAAAATGCCACCCTGGTCCCCTGCTCACCCCTGTCGGGGGTGGAGAGGAGGGGGAAGGGAACCAGACAGACAAGGAAACCTGTCGTGTGTCAGGGGTGACAACGGACACAAAGAACACGCGTGCGGGGCAGGTCCGGGAGTGGGGTGGTGGTCCGCGCCACGCAGGCAAGTCAGGGGGCGCACGGCCTCTGGTGTGAGGGACTTGGGGGGGGGTTCCAGGCGAGGGCCCGGGGTGCTAGGTTGGGCAGGAGCGAGCGGGGGTCCGAGCAGAGCGGGCGAGGAGGCGGTGCTGGGGGTGGGCGGCCGGTGGGCACGTCGCCTGGGGCTCGCAGGGCCGTTGGAAGGGCTGGGCATTTTACTAGAGGGAGGAACTGTGGAAACAAAGACCACCCAACGGGATCACAACAGGCTGGAGGTATGTGCGCCGTTCGCCGCAGCCAAGGAGCCAGCCGCCATCCATCTTGAATTTGGCGGAGACTCAAAGGCGGGCGGGGGAGCGGGTCACTTTTGGGGGGGGGCCCAGCGGGGGCTGGGGCGCCCCGAGGGCCGGCCGCTGGCAGGGGGCGCGGCCTCTGTGACGGATGGGTCTCGGGTTGAAAGTGGGGACAGGCGCGGAGAAAGCGGTCACTTGCTGATCAAGTCCTGACGCCTCGGGCCGATTGCTCCGCAGGCCGTGGTGAGAGTTGCTCTTTACTATGTGGCCTGTGCTCTGCCTGCACATCCAGCCTCCGGGCATAAAACCAGGAGGAGGCTTTGCACGGGGGCGGGGAGGGGGCGCCACCATCTGAGGTCCGGGGTCTGGCTGCAGGACACCAGCCTGCGCGTGGCTGGTAGGGTAATAGCTGGGGTGTCATGACTGATAGTTTGGCTTTGAACCTGTCCCCTGCAATGCCATCTGGTGAGCTTGAGTCTGACGGGGCCATGTGACAGAACACCACACGTGCGATTTCGTAATAAAAGGTTCTGTAGTAAAACAGGGGCGGCATTTCTGCCGGGCCTTGTACTTGAAGAGCGTAGTTTTTGGCTGCTGCGAGGCAGACATCCGGGACCCGGAGGCGAGGGGAAGAGTCCAGCCGGGGGCCTCAGGCGGGGGCGGCTGCACAGGGACGCGCTCACAGACACCGGGGCGGGGCGGCGGCCGTGGAGGCCGCGTGGCAGGGTTGTCTGCCCCACGCGCAGGGAAAGAGCCACGAGAGGTTTCGGAGGGTGCGGCGCAGCGCGTGAGAAACAGAAGCGGCCGGGATGCCTCCAGGTGTTGCTGCCCAACCCGCTGGAAAGATGACGTGGCGCCGCAGAGACGCGGAGAAGGCTGCGGAGGTCCGCCTGCGGGGCTGGAGATCGAGAGCTCCGTTCTGGACGTGGTGAAGTGGAGGAGTCTTGGAGATGTCCGGGCTGTGGCGTCCAAGCAGCCGGGGGGATGGCCATCCTGGACTCCACGGAGAGGCCCCGATCGGACCTACAGGTCCGGGCGCCCCGGGCGGGCTGGCGGCGTGGGAGGCCGAGAGCCGCGACGAGGCCGCCGCGGGCGGGAGCGCGGCCGCAGACAGTGGCGGATCCGGGGACCAGCCCGGAGCCCAGGGCCGTAAAGACGACAGAGCAGAGGTGGCTGAGGTCCCAGAGTAAAGCCAAAAACTATTTAAAAAAGGGAAAGGGAGCGGTCAGGTGTTTCCAATGCTGCGGACAAGCCGAGCACACCCAGACCCAGGGACCGATGGTCACATTTGGCAACGAGGAGTCCCGTGTCCCGGTCACCAGAGCCGGCTCCGAGGGTCGGGAGGAGGAACCAAAGGATAAGGGCACAGACTCTCCTTTTGGGACCTTTTGCTTAAACAGGAACACAGAGATATCGAGAGACGTATCTTTTCTTACTTACTTTTAAGATGTTTTAGTACGGGTAAAAATTACTCCTATTAGGAAGTAGGATTTTGCCAAATTTCACCTATACTGGCCTTTTTATTCTTTTTTCAAGTGAGTTACTCAGAGAAGCCACACGTGTGGGACTTTGACTTATTCCCCAAACACCTTGGCTTCGGTTTCTCCCACGCCCTGCGGCCCCTGCAGGCTTCACCCCACCAGCCGGGGCTCCTCGCGGGCGCCCGTGGGTGGACGTTACACAGAAAGAAGGGAGCAGGGCGCCCCGAGCCCGCCGTCGGCTCCGGGATCCGCGCCCGCCCTTGCTCCGTGGCGGCTGCGCGTGGCCTGCGGGGGGGAGACCAGGAAAGGGCAGACGGAGAAGACCCCTGGCGGGCTCTCCAGCGGACGTTATTTTCCGACCTCACCGCATGCATCCACACAGCTTCTGCACGTGACATCCTGAAAAGTGATCTTGTCCCTAAAGGGGTCAGCTAATGCATGTGGCGTTCTTACTACCTGCTAAGCCTGTTCTAGACACTGTACGGGTATCAGCCAGTTTCATCCTCGCAAGACGCCTTTCAGGCGAGAGCTGTTCCGACCGCCACTGTAGCTCTGAGCACAGGAGGCGCTCGGAGGGAGGCTCGGTGACCGGCTGCGGGTTAGGCTGCGGGGTGGCCGTGCCGGGATGTGGACCCCCGAGGTCCGTCTCAGAGGTCAGGTTCGTAGCCGCTACGCTGCACTCCTACAAGAAGACCGGGCGGCGTATCTGGGAGCATCATTCATGCTGGAGAAAAGTAAAAGGCTAAACTGAGACGACGAAGAGAGAGCTAATGCGCCGCGCCGAGGCGGCAGGCACGGGAGAGGCAGCGGCGGGAGCTGGAGCCCCACGGTCTGAGAACTCTCTGGAAGCCCCGCTGTGTTTGAAAAGCATTGCGCGTGAATAGGTTACATGCACACGTCATTTCATTTGCATAAAATTACCACAGTATTATGCAGGAGTACAGACGTATAACAGATGCATGAATACGTGTGCAGATACGCCAGCCGCACAGTAAAGCAATAAAGGAACAAACTATGTCGCATCCCACGAGCGCCGCCGGCTGAGCGCGCAGCAGCGTCCGCGCAGGTGTGCGTGGGAGGAAGCGAGGGCCACCGTGCGGAAACAGCAAATCCGCACGGAGTGACCAGGGACCGGGGCAGAGGGGACGCAGGGTCACCCGCTGAAACCCGAACGGCGCTCGCGGCCCCGGGGTAGGCCTGCACGTGACTGCTGCTTCTTTAAATCGCTAACTTTCTTGGCAATGAACTTGTGCTACTTTTGTATTTTCAGATTGGTTTCATTTCTCTTTATTTCGAAAGATGAAGCCAAATGAAGTGAATGCATTTTTTTTTTTTATCACTCAATGTGACTATATTGTAATGAATACTTTGATTTGCAGCTGCTGGTTTTATTTTTAGGTTTAACTGTGCTGTAACTTAGGCAAAAAAAAAAAAAAAGACTTCTATCCTCAGAAATAAAGTAGTTGTAGCTACATTTGAAAGGGAATGTTCCAGCTGACCTTTTCTCAATCATACTGAACAGATTAAAGAAAAAACAACAGACTCTGCTAAGAATCTGATAGAACAAAATCTCTTCTACATTTTTTTTTTTTTGCTAACACAGAACAAAGAAGGGAAAGAAAATGCAATGCAGGGAGAAAGGCACCGAGTGTTCCTCATTTTGAGAAAGTCTGGCGCATTCAGAACCTTCTGGAAGACATTCCGGTAAACCTTCAGGCTACTTGGTGCCCAGACCCTGTCAGACAAGGAGAACTGAACACAGACTCCGTCCCTGCTGTGTCTGAGCTTGGCCGTTCCCTCAAGCCTCTGAAACCGGCGTGGCGAGGCCGGCTAGTTTCAGCAGGGCTGCAAACGGAACAGATGAGAATAATACGTATCTAAGTAACACAGCAAGGGTTACGATTTCCCATCAGGACATGTGAGTCCGAGATTACTCTTTAGCATTAGGCCCGCGTGTTGGCTCGTGGGACTCTCCGAGTCATCTTTCTATCTATCATGACATGTTTTTATTTTGTAGATGCAGAAACTTGCAGGAAGTTTTAAATCACTGAAAGAGTTTTATCTTGCGCGACTTTTTTCTTACCTGCCTTACGATGCCAGAAACGGTGTCCTGTATTTTGAACAAGTGCTTTGTCTGTGTATTTGTTTTCGACAAAGACTTTCCTGTTTCTCTGAGAGGGGCAGACAGACGTGGAGTTCAAAAAGGAACGAGCCGCGGCCCCGTCCACGTGGCTCAGGGGGCCGGGCGTCACCCCACAAACCAAAAGGTCGCGGGATCAACTGCGGCTCGGTCCCCGGCCGGGCGTGTGCATCCGGGAGGCCACGGACTGATGTTTCTCTCTTGCATAAGCACCTACATGTATTACTATCTTTGCAGCGAATAGAGATACTTATGCATTTAATAAAATACATCATCTTGACCTAAATCACAACTATGTAATTTAAATACTATACGTGGACAGAGGATATTAAGAGTATATGTATGAACGTGCGAGAATCCAGGACACATGCAGGTATGTGTATGTGTCTGTGTTAATGTTTGTGTGTTACATCAGGGAACCAATGTCCTAACACCTGTCAAGGGGCACAGAGAGCACCCAATAAACATCACGCAAAATGCCTAAACTGGCTCATCTGCCCACAAGACCGGGAGGCAAAAGAAGCCGTGTGAAGGGATGGACGCTGCGTGCAGACCCGCCGTCCGGCCCACGGGGCGCGCCCGGGAGCCTCAGCTGCCACTGGCAGGACCGTCGCAGGGAAGCGAAGAGCCGGGACCAGCGTGCGCCTGCGTCACACAGACCGGAGAAGAAGGAAGAGCGGCTCCCAGCCCAAAACTACACAAGTCGATGGCTGCGCCCTCTTGCTCCCGAAACACGTCGCTCCAACTTCGTGGTAAAACGTCACGTTCTGTCACAGTCTCTTATCACAGGCCTCCCGTCCCCCGCAGACCACGCGCTCTGTGACCGAAGGGACGGTGTCTTGCCATCTCTGTGCCCCCAGCACCGAGCGCCGTCCCCAGCGCCGGATGCACAGATGCGTTTAACTGCCTCAGTCCTTGCGGGAGGGTACGGTGATTGTGCAGCTGGGAAGGTGACACGTCAAGGAGTGACTTGAAACACACACGAACACGGGAGCCAGTCTACATGTATTAACGGCCACGGGCTGGTTCAAAAGGGACGCGCTACCCCCCGAGCGCGTACCCCCCACGCGGGACTCGAGGAAACCTAATTACTTATTCCTTGTTCATGCAGCTAAAGTTAATGCAACTAAACGCTAACTGCCTGAGCGGGAATCATAAACACCACGGAAGCTCGCCCAGATCGGAAGGCAGCGCCGTTGGCTACACACTCGCGGCTGGAGCTCCGGGTCCCCCGCCCCCTAATTATTCTCAGTGTCCCCCGGCGCGTCCCCACGTGCGCCTCCGTGCCACGGGCCTCGGAGATGGTGTCTTCCCAGAACACTCCAGTGTTTTCTGGCTGACAAGGTAGAGCAGGCCGGCAGCATAAGAGAAAGTCATGTCTGGCTTCGGACAGGATTCCAGCGTAGGAAGAGTCTTTCCAAGCTTTTCAGGGCAGCCAGCCTTCAAAAAGCCACGCAACCTTCCCCCGCCCCAGCCCCGGACGGCAGCGAGACCGGCCAAGGCCGCAGAGCTTCGGTGGGAGGAGGGGAAAGGTCAGGTTACACATGAAAGCGGAGTTTACTTTTACCAAGGGGGCCGCTGACAAGAAAGCGTAATCTGTTAGAAATGACGAGCAAAGATTCAAAACCCCCAGGGGAGGGGGCCGGCGGAGCGGGTATTAGGTAACAAATCTGGAACCATAGTGTGGAATGAGGATCTTTGGCGGGTGACTATCCCTGGAACAGCTGCGTATAAGATGCGGAACAAACCCGCCCCGAAGGGGTCTGATTCTTGAACTATTGGCTTAAAGCCTGTCTTTAAAAGGCTTTAACAAGCAACGATTCACTGAAGAGCGCTCAGATGAGCAAGGCCGGTTCTAAGGGATAAAACGGGAACAAGAGAAAGAACATGCTAGCACCCCCTGCTTCCTTATAGCTCATTTGCGTGAAAAGACAGCTCCCCTTCGTTAACCTGGGGGCACCCCTCCCACCAGCAGAGCTCGGGCTCCGAAACGGCTCCCCGCGGAAGCCCCAAATGCTGCGTGGAGGCCTTTCCTTGCGGAGCACGTGCCGTGGACGCCCGCCCGCCCGCCCGCCCGCCCGGCCCCCGCGGCCGTACCGTCCCCGGGGTCCACGATCTCCACCGTGGTCACGGCCGGGGGCTCCAGGGCGGCCAGCACAGGCTCCGACAGCACCACCTGGAAGGTCTCCGCCCGCTCGTGTGCCCCGTCGCTCAGCACGCGCACGCGCCAGGCCGCCCGCGTCTGGCCTGGGTTGAACTGCACTTGCTTCTGCGCTTTGCCCTTGAAGTCTTTGTCCTTCTCCGCCGTCCCGTCCCGTGTGCCGATACCTGCACAGAGTCACAAAGTCACAGTCCTGGCTTTCTCCACGGAGGGACGACAGGTTCCCTCGCTGACGTTGTGCGCACCCGCGGCCTGGGCCCCGACGCAGACCCTGAGTGGCCACGGCGGCTCCGTGCCCCGCCCGCCCCGTGGTGGTTTCACTATACATTCCTCAGGCTGCGTTTGTGTGGGAGCCTCTAAGATGGAGCTCTGGATTTGCTCTGGGTGGGAAAATGAAGATTTCCTTTTTATGATTAACACATGGGATCCCCCGGGGCGGGGGACAGGGCTGGCCATCGTGTTCAAGTGCGGCCCGCGGGCCAGCAGCGTGGGCCACGCCTGGGAGCCTGTCGGAGGTGCGGTTCAGCCCAGTCCCCTTCCTACTGAACTAGATCGGACACTGGCAAGGTGCCAGAAGCGTTAGCACCTGAGGGGGCCGACACATGCTAAGTACCTCCCATCCCCACAGGGTCCTGTGAGAACAGGCGCCACTTTAAAAGGGACGAAGAAACGGCCTATAGGCTCTGGGGGCCATGCACTGGCCCACGCTCTAGTCTCACGTGGCGGCTGAGACAGGCCAGGAGAGGCAGTCCGCTGGCAAACTGTGCATGTTATCAATAATAGTATTAGATGGGGCAAAAAGAATGCTGGGAATCAAAAAGCTTACAACTTGGGCTGAAAGGTGGGCTGCTTTTTTCCCGAGAGAATTAATGAGTAAACAAAACATTTTACCACTTTCTAGCCCATAACCTCACGAGGCGCCTGGCATGTAAGAAGCCCTACAGGAAACATTCGTTGAGTTAGTGAATAAAGAGTTGTTACCAGGAGTAAAAGATCGAGGATTTCATGTGCTTAATGACGTACCTCGCATTTGCTATGTGTTCAATAACTGATAGCAATAAGCTCCTTGAAATTCAAATACTTTTGTGAAATGTAACGACAGACTCATCGGTGGGTTATAAATGTATGATCATTCCTGAGAAAAAACATGGACAAGTTGTGTGTAATTTGTGATTTACTAGCTGTGCTCCTGAGGGTTCCGTGGAATTTGCTTTCAGCTACGATGCAAATGCTCTCATTCCAAAACTGCGTCCAGGGGCGCGGGGGCCCTCAACAGCGGCATGACCGTGTCCCGGGCGGACTCCTCGGGGTGCCCCGCACTTGCGCCCGACGGCCGTCGCCGTCCGCGCGGGAACTCTCTCTCCCCAGGTCACCGGGTAAGACACGGCTCGCGGAGCAGAGCTATGGGACCTGCACAGGACTGCACGCGCGGAAAACTACCATTCGTTGGAAAAAGAGCCTCAGGAGGGAGGAGAGCTCTTGTCTGACACTTGAACGTGCTGCTTCAAAAAAAGGCAACGGAGAGAAAAATCTGGAAAGACCATTTAAAAAATAGTTCCCCACCTGCCCAGTCCCCTCGCTGTCGGTGGGCTCCTCACGAGTGGGGATTCAGGGACAGCGCGGACACACGCAGGCACCCTTCCCAGGCGCTCGGGCGCTGGGCCGGCTGTTCGTCCCCGGCCGCGGCCGCGCCGGAGCACAGCTGCGGCCGCTCTCCCCCGACGGCGGGCGGGGCAGGGTCCTGACCTCACCTGCAGGGCCCGTGTGTCCAGCGAGGGCCTGCCCCAAAGGAGACGGCTCCCAGCCCTCGCGGCTCTGGAGGGCTCCACGCGGAGAGCGAATGGTGGCAGGGGCAGGGAAAGGAGGCGCGGCCCCGCTGCCGGGCGGGTCTGCAGGGGGTGCCCGCCCGCCTTAGGGGTCAGCGGAGCCGCTCTGAAAGGCCCTCTTCTAAAGTTAGAGGACAAAGGATAGGTCTGTTATTTCTAATCCTCACCCGAGGTTATGTCTGCTGATGAGGGACAGAGAGAAACATTGCTTGGCTGCCTCTTCTATGCACTGCGACTGGGGATTGAACCCGCAACCTAGGTCTGTGCCTTGATAGGGGGTCGAGCCTGCCCCAGGGGGCGCTCCAACCGACTGAGCCACCTGGCCGGGGCAAGGAGTATCGTGCAGCGAAGGGGCGGTCATTATCCAGCATCTAAACATCAGGGGAAGTTATGGGGGCAGGCGAGAACCGTGGCAGGAACAAGGGTGTGTGTGTATTGCGGGGGCGGGGGGGGCGGTAGGATTTGCTTTTTAAGGCATTTGAATGGTAGGGACCAGTAAAATTCCAAAACATCGTTTTGAAGACACAAGCATGGTTACAGCTTTTTCTTTGGCCGGCATGTTTGCAGATTCCGCCCTGGCTGGCACTTCCACTCAACAGAAGCTCTTTCATCCCATGAAAATTCTCTCAGTCTAGGGGTCCATACAACATGTGGCACCCGAAATAACGTGGTTTCTTGGGGCGCTATCATGTTTTTAATCAATAAGCCAAATGTTTGGTGCCAACCAAACATATTACACGGCCGCTTAAAATGACCCATGTACCTATTGGTAAAGATATCTATGGCACACTTCCGTGGAATGGAATGTGAGCGTGGACTGGAGTGTTGAAAAAGTTTTACTCATTGGCTTGGGACTGTCAGTTTTATTTAAAAAGGGTGAAGCAGCAAAAAACTGGCCCCTGCTTAACGCCTTCCTGTTGGTTCTGAGGAAAAGTCCCCACATGTACCTTCTTGGCAGAGAGGAGGCTCTTGCGCCTCAGTGACCTACCAGGGCATCGAAATGCAACCACCAAACAGTAGGTGACGCTTGAAGTGCCTGCTAGGTCACTGAATAGCTTTTCATTTCTTATTAAAGTAGTCGTCACCTGTGTCGTACACGGGTATTTTGCAGGCTTTTATCTTACGGAGAAATTACATAACTGCCTAAACCTATTTAAGCTCTAGTGACATTTAAATTTTTTTTTTTTTAACCTATGGGTGATTACTGCCAGTTCTGTAAAGTTATTTTATATCCGCAGAAAGCTGCCGTGTGGGTTTGGGGAGGTATATATTTTGGTTCACGTTTCTTGTTTTTACAGCCTTTTGTCTCGATTTATTCCTGACACAGAACTTCTGGCATGTTTCTTTAGCAGCTAAAGACCATTTAAATGTTAACCTCTCCCGAAGCTTTAACACTGAAGCCGCAAACTAAACATTTTTTAATCTTTATAAAGTTTTAAACTCTTGCTAGTACACCGGGGTTGCGGGGCAGAAGTGGGAATTAAACTTACTTATAAACGAAGTCTCTCCCAGGTAACCTCTGCGCTGAAGAACGACATCTAGAAACTTGGCGTCCTCGTTGATCAGATAATAGTCCTTCTCGAAGGAGATCCAGGCCCAGTTCAGGTGGAAATGCTGCTTGGTCAACCTGTTTCCACCTGCAAAGCAGACATTTAAAGCACCGAATCAGTGCGCAGCGGAATGAACGACATTAAAAATTCCGCGCACTCACAAACCACGACAGCCGCTTGGCTGGACGCACGGCGCCGGACTGCGTGCCTGGAGAGGCGGCCCGGTGGCCCGCGGTGGTTATCCAGAAACACGGTCACTGACACCACTGTCCCCGGAATCCCTTGGTCTTTGAGGGGAAAAAATCCCTAGAGGGCGCGGGTTGGGGGGGGGCGGGGGGCAGGGCCGGGGGGCGGGGGGAAGCCACCGGTTTCCGCCCAGGATCCGCGCGCCGCGCCGCAGGGCGGCCCCTCTGCCACAAGGGGCCGCCAGGGAGCAGGCCCGGCTGCAGAGCCGGCGGCAGGGCTCGCCCTCGAGGGCTAAACGCACGCCCAGCTTCGCAAATTAACTTTTTCTGGTTCGCTGAGCAACTGGGTGGAAGGCTTTCATTATAACCACTTAAGAAAAAGCAAATATCCCATCTCCGCCTCCCTTCTCCACTAGATTCCACTCCGCTCCGCAGCACAAACAGCTCTTTTCACTGACTCCACTCCACTCTGAAGATAAAGCTTCCTGCCTCCCCCCACCCTGCCCCCCAAGCGGGGAGCCGCGGCCGCCTGGAGAAAACAGCCCTTGTGTGGGATCGGGGGCGTATCAGCGATCACTCGCTCACCTCCTCTGCTTCCTCTGACCTACAGCAATTATTTTAGAGGAGGGTGGGGTACGCAAATGCAGACACCGGGAACCTTTCAAGTCTCTCTGCGGTGGGGGGGGGGGGAGCCCGAGGAATAACCACAGCGAGGAGCCCCGTTCGGTGTCCGAGGCCTCCCTTCTGAGCTCCCATCCGGGGACCTACGCTGGGCGAGGAGAAGCGAGGGAGGCAGGGGAAGAGCAAGGCGTTGCTGCAAGGGGGGGGCCGTGGGGGGCAGCAAGTCCGCCCAAGGGGACAGGCAGAGAGCGAGCAAAGAAGGGGCACGTGTTCGCCTTTGGCGGAAACTTTAAAAGCAGAAAATGGCAGCGGCGTGGAGCTCACCACGCATGTGTCCTAAAGGCTGAGCACAATGCCCGGGAGAGCCGGGGTGCTGCAGGCACACGGGGTTTCTGGTGGTTTGCAGTGTGTGCTTCTCCGTCTCCAGAGTAAACTCTGATCCTTTATCTGCGGGCGGGTGTCTGCCGCCAGCTGCCTGGGCAGCCAGGGCAGGCGCTGGGCGACCCCACCTTTCTAGCCTCTCTGTCCCCTGCAGTTCCTGGGGTACGGCGCAGTGGCTATCTCCTCACTCCTGCTTGTTTTATTCCTTTCTTAAGATGTGTTTGTTGATCTCAGAGAGAAAGGGAGAGAGAGAGTAGACACATCGTAGTGCGAGAGAGCCATTGTTTGGTTGCGTGCCTGCACGCTCCCTGACCGGCGATTAAACCGAGCACCCGAACCCGCGCCCCGATCGAGGGTCGAACCCACCACCGTTCAGTGCGCGGGGGCGGTGCGCGAACCAGCTGAGCCGCCCAGCCACGGGGTTCCTTCCCTTTTCCAAGTTCCAGCTGACACAAAGCCCAGACTGCAGCTTTCTCTGACGTGTGGCTCAGAGCTTCTGACCCGTTCAGTCCCTCTTGCGTTCACCAAACTTTATTGTGTAGTGGTGTGTACTTTATTCCTGTCTCCTTTCCCTTAGATCCAAGAGTAAGAGGTTACTAGGCCTCTAGTTTCTCTATTTCTCTAAACTTGCACACTTTTTAGCTAATTATACGATTTGACTCTCCCCCGTTCCTGAAATACCCCGGCAATGACCGCCCTTCTTCTAGAGAGCACGGGCTTTGTGATCGCGGAGGCTGAGGCCTTCTTCCCCGACCCCACAGGGGTCCTGCCCAGCCCTGCCCAGCCCTGTCCAGCGCCTTCGTCCGGGCGGCGTTCTCCCTGCAGCGCCTTCCATAACCTCCGAGACCATCTCCGCTTCCTTTTTCGTCGGCTCGCTCTGCCTCCCAGGCCGCTCGCCAAACGCCCGCTACACGAGAGGCCTGCCCACGCGATGGCCGGAGACCCTCAGCCGCGCTCATTTTCCTGGCCGTGCAAATGTCCTACGGGTTAACAGGACATACCTCTGTCAGGACGGAGTCTTGTCTGAATGCATTTTTTTAAAATGACCCCCTTTCTAAGACGTCTCGTACACTTTTATCCCTGGACACTGTTATGAATAGGTGATTGCCTATAAATGCGATGACTAGAATTTGTGCCCATCCAAGCGACACCTCCAGGGGTTACCGGTGACTAAATGGATGGTTTTAGGGATAGCGCATTCATCTCTACTTGCAGATTAAAAAAAAAAAACCAGTTAACTTTCTAGTTGGCACTTACGTACATTCTGGAAGGACAAGGGTGCCAGGCGACTGCCTTATCGGGGGCTTCGAGTGGCACAGAGCTAAGCCAGGCCGCCAGGACTTCCGCTGGCCAGCATTTGAGATTTTATTTGAGATATAATGCAGAAGCAATTCCGACTGGGGATGGATTTCGATGCTTAGCGTTCAGTGTAAATCGAAGTTTTGAGGGGGCTATTTTACTAGAGAATATCAAGTTAAGTGCATAAAGCTTAATTCTGAATAGAAGTAAATGCTCCATGCTGTCTGGTTTCTACACACATTCCTGTTGTGTTTCAGAATTTATAAAATCTTAGGTACTAGCTTTTAGGCAGGAGAAGCGAGGTGGAATCGATTCGAGGGGCTGCGATGTAGGTTTTCGTAACCCTAATACTGACCCTGCACAGTTGAACTCTGCCTTTTACCTAATGAATAGGAAGACACCTTATCTATTCATTTATTACCTGCCATGCCAACTCCTCTAAAACCTCAATTACGGAACCAATAACTTTTTACTTTAAATAACAACAGCTCCAGCTTGTCGCTGAATGCGACATTTTAGATGAAGTTAAGCCACTTAAAAAGAAGATTTTTCCTTCAGTGAGTCTTTCCCTTTCTCAAGTAGATTCTATCGCCTGTGAAGTGTAGGACTCCAGCCTCGACGTCCGACAGCAAACAAATTAAAGTCTGTGACGTGCCTGGTAAATCCACGTGACAGGTGCCCAGCAGCTGACAAGGATACTCCCAAATGCTTTGTCTCCAAACCCTGACCACTAAACCCATTCAGGTTTTTATGAAAAGACCTCTTCTGACCTTTGCCAGCTGGTCTTTAGGCTCTTCATTTCCTTTTTCAATGAAACCAACAGGTTTCTTTCTTTCTTTTCTTTTTTTCAGAACAACAAAGAACCACAGCCTCCCATTAGCTCTCCCTCAGAGCACAGGGCTGTCCTGTCGGACGTCCCGGAGACACAGTGTCCCTCTTCAGTGTGAAACTAGTGTCGCGACTTGGACTTGGGCTTTACCAAACGTTGCTTTGGGTGTCTGTGTAACTTTGACAATTTTTTTTTCCCCCAAAAACTTTTCGACAAAAAAAAGTTGCTTTTTTTTCCTTAAAGGAAAGTTCCCACCAGAACATCCGAGCTTGCTAACATTCCGTGCCCCTGAAGTTCGGCCTGGGAGCCGCACTGGGAAGCAGATGGTATCTCATTCTTTACATCAGCAAAAGAAACAGACAGTCCTATCAAAAAAGATGGACATGCCATGACCTCACTTCTGGGGGTAATGACATCATTTGACTTGGAAGCAGTTCGTTCTCTTAGAAGGTGAGGGTGGTGGGGAGCAGCCGGGCGAGACCCTCAGCCTCGTGACTAACGGTGGTGAGGATTAAAAAGTTAAGTTAAGACATGGGATTTACTTTCTTGCCATTCCTGGGCTAGGGTAATCTTTTTATAAAAAAAGATTTTATGTGTTTATTTTTAGAGAGGGGGAAGCAGGGAAAAAGAGGGGGGGCGAGGGACGCAGCTGGGAGGAGCCTGCCCCCCAAGCCCGGGCCCGGCTCCGCCCGGGGACGGAACCGCGACCTTTCGCTTTGCGGAGCGGCACTCAGCCCACGGAGCACACAGGCCGGGGCCTCAGGCTTGGCTTTGCTGCGGAGTCCTCCCCGCGGGGACCTCTGAGGGCCCCTGGCGTCCTGAACTCTGGCCCTTCGAGGCGGGTGAACTTTACAGTTTATGGAAAACCGCGGGGCACTAAGCTGAAGCCAACTCGAGTCCTCCACACGCCTCTCTGCGCCTCCAGGCGCTGATGCCTGACTGTGGAGGCGGGACAAGCACACAGATAACGTGTCTAAGCGAGAGGGACACCTGCTGGGGGGAGAGACCGAGCCGCGGGCGCGGGGGCGGGGGCGGCGGCGGATCAAAGAGCCGTTGGGGGGGGGGGGAGACGCGCGTTTCAGCCGGGCCTCCAGGACGGGGCGGTGCTGGCCCTTCCGAGAGGCAGGACAGCTGTTCCTGGAAGACTCAGTTTGAGAGCAGAGATAAGAAATCCAGTAGAGAAGGAACGTCAGGGAATCCCGTCTGGGGCGCGCTCGGGAGAGTCACTGAAGACTATTCCCTTCTCTCTCTCCCCTGACCTCCAGGCCGTGGAGCGAGGCTGATGGGAGACCTGGCCAACAGACCCGGCAAACCTGTCGGCAGATTCTATCGTGCTGCAGGCTACGGAATAATTCCAGTGGTGGTTTTAGCCTAATATTGCTGCAAGCTCTTCCAACGCTGCTCGCAATACAACTTTTTTTAAGTCACCACCCAAGGACACGCTTCATTGCTTTGAGGGACAGAGAGACACTGATGGGTTGTCTCCCACAGGCGCCCCGAGCGGGGATCGACCCTGCCGCCCTTCGTGGTACCGGAGGACGCCCAGCCGACGGAGCCGGGCGGCCGGGCTGGCAGGAGGGCTTCGGGTGACGGGCAGGTCGTCGTCCCCTTCCTTTGTCCTGCGCCCGTCTCCCCCGCCGTCCCCCGCGCACACGCCCGGAGGAGAGGGAGTGCGGCCCCCGCCTGGTGCACAGGGCCGCGAGAGGCTCTTCGTGGCGCTGCCCGGACGGGCGGCTCTGTGCCACAGACTCAGAGGCGGGCACAGCCCCGCC